GGAGGAGACCTGGGCATGGAATAGGGAGAGGTAGGGCAAACTGGAAACCACCAGCACCTTTGCCTCTGTCTCTGACTGTCTCCAACCAACAGTAACCTTAGAACAAAATGACTACTGCTCACTGCCACTTCCCAAATATTATTCTTTTGGCCAAGTGTAGCTGGGATCCATTCAAGGAAGGTGATTCTGCCAAACATAGATCCCAGAATAATCAAGGTGAAAATAGAATAATCCTGCACACAGATCTTTGATAAGACTAGGACTATATAATACATAACAGCTAGGAAAAAATATATAAATTTTCCCCAAGTGCTTCTAAGGAACAAACATATTTGGGAACCATATCCACCTAGCCTAGTCAACTAAATTAAAAGCCGGAGTCATCTTAGATGCTTTCTTCTCAATTACCCTCAACATCTAGTTACCGAGTTTCATATAATTTTACTTCCTAAGTGTCTCTTGAATACGGCCCCATTTTCTCTCTTTCTCTCTCACTCTCTTTCCTCTCATTTTGACACAAGGTCTTACTTTGTCATCTAAGCTGGAATGCATCGACATCAACATGGCTTACTGCAGCCTCAACCTCCCAGACTCAAGTGATCCTCCTGCCTCAGCCCCCAAGTAGCTGGAAATACAGGTGCATGCCACCATACCCAGCTATTTTTTTTTTTTTTTTTGTAGAGATGGGGTTTCACCATGTCAGCCAGACTGGTCTTGAACTCCTAGACTCAAGTGTTCCATCGTATTGGCTTCCCAAAGTGCTGGGATTACAGGTGTGAGCCACTGCGCTCAGCCAGTCATATCTTCTCCATCCTCATTACAAATGCTCATGGTCTCTTACCTGGAATTCCTACCTGTTTCCTAATCAGTCTTTCTGTGTCTACCACAAATCTGTCCATACTACCACTACAGAAGGGGGTCCAAACCGTCACTGTACTTTAGAATCACCTGGAGGACTTAAAAAAATCCATTGTCTGGGCTCCACTCTAGACCATATATCAGACCCTCTCACAGCAACCTTCTATGGTACCACTGTTACCTTTGCTTTGCAGATGAGCAGACTGAGACTTAGCAGAGGGTTAAATAACTTTTCAAGGTCCACAGCTGAGAAGTAGTGGAGCTCAGATATGGTGCCGTTATCTGAGTGCAGAGTGTATCCTCCTAACCACATAGTATGACGCCTTCCAGACTATGCCACAGGGCTAATGAGATGGTTGGTAGGACCAGTGGTGGAGGTATGGAACACAATTAGAAGTATAGAATCGAGGGGAAAAGAATGGGAATGGTGTTCAATTCGGTTGGTTTGAATGGATTCTTAGACAACCAAGTGGTGCTGTTCAGGGCGCAGTTGGAAATACAATGAAGCTCAGTCTAATTTCGAGCTAGTGAAGGATGGACAGGAGGAAATGGACACAAAAGACAGTTCCGAGGCAAAAAGGACAGGATCCAATGGCTGAATGAAAGGGACGAAGGTGACAGGGGATGTAGGATTGGCGGGGAATACAAGAAAAGAGTCAAGCTATCTTGAAGAAAAGTTTAATACAGGAAAGGCAGCAGTTTTGGGAATGTGCTGGAGAGGACCATGAAAATCGTTTTGGCAATATTAACTCTGAGAACCTAACAGAATCTGAAAGTTGGAAATATGAATCTGGAGTTTGGGAGAGAGGTTGCAGTCAGGGATTCTGACTGAGGTTGCATTGGGTGCCTGAAACCCTGGAAGTGGATGAGAGGGATGAGTAAGTTCAAGAATGAGAGATGCTCAAGAAAAGAAGCAGGCCATGGATTCAATTCTAGGGAGGTCCAAGATAAGGGGTGGGTAGAAGGGGAGAAACCGATGGAGGAGACCCAAAGAAAGGAGTGAGCAAGTGGGAGGAGGACAGAAAATAGATAGATAGATAGATAGATAGATAGATAGATAGATAGATAGATAGAGAAGACAGAAGAGAAAGAGACAGAGAGAGGACAAAGAGAGAAACAGAGAGAGATAAAGAGAGGGAGGAGAAAGAGATAGAAAAAGAGAGAGAGAAGAAAAAGATAGAGAAAGAGGCGAGAGAGAGAGAAGAGAAAGATTAATTTTAAGGAATTGGCTCACTTGATTTTAAGGTCTAGCAAGTTTGAAATTTAAGGGCAGGCTGCTAGGCTAAAAATTCAGGCAGGATTTGAGGTCTCTCTCTTTATGTCTCTCTCTTTATTGAGACAGGGTCTCACTCTATTAGCCCAGGCAGTGGTGCAATCACTGCTCATTGCAGCCTCAACCTCCTGAGCTAGAGTGATCCTCCTGCTTCAGCCTCCCAAGTAGCTGGGACTACAGGTACAGGCCACTGTGCTGGCTAATTAATTTTTTTTTCTTTATAGAAAGGGTTTTGCCAAGCAATGGGTAAAGAATTTCCTAAATGGTGATGGGATAACTGGCTAGTCATATGCAGAAGATTGAAAATGGACTCTTACCTTACACTTTATACAAAGTTAACTAAAGATGGATTAAAGACTTAAATGTAAAACCCAAAACTATAAAATCCCTGCAAGACAACCTAGGCAATACCATTCAGGACGTAGGCATGGGCAAAGATTTCATGACGAAGATGCTAAAAGCAAAAATTGACAAATGGGATCTAATTAAACTAAAGAGCTTCTGAACAGCAAAAGAAACTATCAACAGAGTAAACAGACAACCTACAAAATGGGAAAACAATTTTCCAAACTGCGATCTAACAAAGATCTAATATCCAGCATCTTATAAGAAACTTATATTTACAAGAAAAAAACCACACAACCCAATTAAAATGTGAGCAAAGGACATGAACAGACACTTTTCAAAAGAAGACATACACGCGGACAACAGTCATGAAAAAAAGCTCAACATCACTGATTATCAGATAAATGCAAATCAAAACCACAATGAAACACTAACACCGGTCAGAATGGCTATTATTATTATTATTGCTATTATTTTGACACAGAGTCTCGCTCTGTTGCCCAGGCTGGAGTGCAGTGGCGCAATCTGCTCACTGCAAGCTCTGCCGCCTCCCGGGTTCACACCATTCTCCTGCCTCAGCCTCCCTAGAAGCTGGGACTACAGGTGCCCGCCACCACGCCCGGCTAATTTTTTTGTATTTTCAGTAGAGACGGGGTTTCACCATGTTCGCCAGGATGGTCTCCATCTCCTGACCTTGTGATCCACCCGCCTCGGCCTCCCAAAGTGCTGAGATTACAGGTGTGAGCCACCACGCCCGGCCTAGAATGGCTATTATTAACAACTCAAAAAATAACAGATGCTAGAGAAGTTGTGGAGAAAAAGGAACACTTTTACACTGTTGGTGGGAATGTAAATTAGTTCAGCTGTTGTGGAAGACAGTGTGGTGATTCCTCAAAGACCTAAAGACAGAAATACTGTTTGACCCAGCAATCCTATAACTGGGTATACACCCAAAGGAATATACATCATTCTTTTACAAAGACACATGCACACACATGTTCACTGAAGCACTATTCACAACAGCAAAGATATGGTATCAATCTAAATGCCCATCAATGATAGGCTGGATAAAGAAAATATAGTACATATATACCATGGAATACTATGCAGCCATAAAAAAGAATGGGATCATGTCCTTTGCAGGGACATGGATGGAGCCAGAGGCCATTATCCTTAGCAAACTAACACAAGAAGAGAAAACCAAACACAGAATGTTCTCACTTATAAGTGGGAGATAAATGATGAGAACACATGCACACATAGAGGGGAACAGCACACTGGTGCCTTTTGGAGGGTGGAGGGTCGGAGAAGGGAGATGATCAAGAAAAACAACTAATGAGCACTAGGCTTAATACCTGGGTGACAAAATACTCTGTACAGCAAACACCCATGACACAAGCTTACCTATGTAACAAACTGATCTTAAAATAAAAGTTAAACAAAAAAGAGGGTCTTATTATGTTGCCCAGGCTGGTCTCAAACTTCTGGACTCAAGTGAATGTCCCACCTTGGCCTCCCAAAGGGCCCAGCCTTAGATATTCATACATTTATTTATTTTTAGAGACATGGTGGGGGTGTGGGGGGTCTCTCTCTGTCACCTGGGCTGGAGTGCAGTGGCCCCATCATAGCTCACTGAAGCCTTGAACTCCCGGGCTCAAGCAATCCTCCCACCTAAGCCTGCTGAGTAGCTGGGACTGCAGGAGTGCACTACCATGCCGGGCAAACACACTGATTTTAAGCACAACGGTGTGCTTTCAGTCTTAAGGATCTTCAGCTTTTGAAGGCCCTCAGCCTTCCTCTAGTTCTAACTCCTCTCGTTCTGAGGAGATCCTTCCCATTCTTGCAGAACGTCTCCCCAACTCTTCTTCTTCTTCACAGTTCTCCCTCCTATCCTTGAACCATCTGCAAGAGGTTTTGTGCCAAGCCTCTGGCACATGGCACATTCTATCTCATGTTGTGATTTGGTTTTCTATGCACGTGCTCTCCTTCTAGCCTGGAGGTGAGCTGCTTAATGACAAAGAGCTCATGTGTAGCCCTTCCTTGTACCCATTGTCCTATAGCAGGTGCTACCTAGGGGGTGCTCCAGTAGCTTCCTTGAATGAACCAAAGAGAAGGGGTGAAGGGGATGAGTCAGTTGCCTAGGAGCTTGCATGGACTCCTGTGTCCTGGAACCAGCCTGTGTCCTGGAACCTGCCCGGAGCTGCTGGAAGGTGCTAGAAGTTGGAATCCCATCTCATTTCTAAACATCTGCTCCCACTCATCTCTTTCCAGGGTCATCAGTCATCCCCACTCCGCCTCCCCGCCCCCACTTTGTATAAATGAGTCCCTCAGATCCCTGCATCTTCTCCATCACTGTGTGGTCACTTCTCAAATCACGCGTCTGGAAGGCGCCCTCCTGTACCCCATCCTGGAGGCTTCCTGCACTTCCCCTCTTGTTTCCTCCAGAAATGAGTCAGAGTGAAAGCAAACTTTCTGAGGTCCTGAGATCCCGGAGACAGGCTGTGAGGGCCGCTGGCCCCGCCCTCTCCAGCTGCGTGCGTGTGTGTGTGTGTGTGTGTGTGTGTGTGTGTGTGTGTGTGTGTGTATGTGTGTGCGCGCGCGCGCGTGAGGGGCCAATGCTGGAAAGGAAACAGCGGCCTCGCTGAGGAGAAGAAAGGAGCCGCCCCCTTCGTTGCCAGCCCCCTCCTCACTTCCCGTCCGGCGCGCTGCTCCCTTCCCCCTCGGGGAGCGAGCAGGAGGCGGCCCAGGCGGAGCGGGAGGAGCTGGCAGCGGGGCGCATGCCAGTTGGGGGTCCCCAGGGCGCCCCGGCCGCCGCCGGCGGCGGCGGCGTGGGCCACCGCGCAGGTAGGGGAGCTGCCACCGCGTCCTAGCACGTCCTGCGGGGTCCTGGCAGGGAGGGCGCGCTCTGGCCTCCAGGAAGTCCTGTAGGTCAGGGCGTGCCTCTGTTAACAACCCCTTTCGAGGTGAGGGAAACTGAGGCAGGACGCGCGGCCTGCGAGGCTGAGAGAAGAGCGAGTCGGGCCAGGTCCCTGACCTAGGACTGTGGAGCAATCCCCGGGGACCGGCAGTTTGCGAAACTGCAGGCGTCTGACCCGCGCCCCCGCTGAGTGTCCAGGTGACCGGGAAAGGTTACAGGCGTTTGGATCCGTCCCGGGACACCTGCGCGACCCGCACTCTCGTTGCGGTGCGCCCCAGCCCGCACCCCCTCGGGACAGGGGACGTCCCGCCCGCCTAACCCCAGACCCAGCTGGATCTCGGGTTCCACCCCTTCGGGAACCTGGAGGGAGGAGGCTGGGAGCGGGACCAGGAACTGGTGCCTTTGCCTTCCCTAGGGGCTGCTCTGAAATCAGTGTCACCGCCCACTTCCTACTTGGCTACTGTAAAGGCCACGGCCCAAGCCCGAGACTGCTCTGTTTCCACCGCCTGGAGCGCGGGTCTCACTGTCAACTCTTAGTGATGACCACTGAGTGGATGGTTGTTTTTCAACAATGACAGCACTTCTACCTTCTGACTCTTAAAATGTGAGGTTTTCCAAAGACAGTGAGATTTGGAGTTAGGGAGTGCTGCCATGTGCCCTTGCTGGGTGAGGACAGGGCCGGGTCAGTCGTTTAACCTCTCAGAGCCTCAGTCTCCTGAAATGCAAAAGAGAACGCTCATAACCTGGCCTCCCTGTGTTGCTAGGTTTGTTGTATGGGAAATCAGTTTGCAAAGTGTTATCATCGACTGGACCAATTTGAATTGGACAGCACTAGGACCATAGGAACTGGAGTTTGGAGAAAATCTGCCTGCATGTCAATCCTGGACATGCAGGAGACTATGACAGTACCTACTTCATAGGGTTGTTACACGGTTTAACTGTGATGGTGGAAGTGAAGCACGTTGCCCAATGCCTGAGATACCTAGTATCTCAAAAAACCTTAGTTGCCATTTTTCCTAGGCAAAATCTAAATAATTACGAGTAATGTGAGAATACCAGTTTGATTTGATTAACGTAGGAATGGTAGGGCATTTAAAAATAAATGTAGTTTTCTTGTGCTGGGCATGGTACATGAAGTCCTCTGAGGTTCAGTTCCATGCCACAGAGCAAAAAGAGCCCTGGACAAGACACCCGCTTTTCGGGCTCTTTGACTTTGAGCCTGTTTTCTCATCTGTTTACAGAAAAGATAAAAGAAAAATGGGGGTAGTAATTACTGCCTTTTGTAATGATCACATTGCCTGAGGATCAAATGGGGCAAAAGATCTGAAAGCACCTTGTGGAGTATGAGTCACTATGCACATATAAAACATGATAGTACTAGGAGGGAATGGTAACAGCTGCAGGTTTTTAGAGCTTAAAATGTGCCAGACATTTTATTATGAATTCCTTTGATGAAATCCTCCCCACATCTTTATGGGACTGGGATTACAGTCCTCATTTCCCTGTGGCAAAGCTGAGGTTCAGGGTCACCCTGCTTGGTTCCCAAGCTCACAGAGCTCTTAAGTGTAAAGCCAGGATTAGAACCCTGGTGTGGGTGCTACTCACAACTGTGTTCTTGGCGACTTGCCAAACTGAAATTATAGCGTGGAGCTGTGATTCAAAACAGACCTATATTAGAATTTAGGTAATTTTTTTTTTTTTTTCTTTAAGAGACAGGGTCTTGCGCTGTCACCTAGGATGGAGTGTAGTGGCACAATCATGGCTCACTGTAGCCTTGAACTCCTGGGCTCAAGTGATCCTCCTGTTCCAGCTTTCTGAGTAGTTGGGATTACAGGTGCATGCCACCATGCCCACCTAATTATTTTTTTTAGAGACGGAGTCTTGCTATGTTGCTCAGGCTGGTCTCCACCTCCTGGCTTCAATCATTCCTCCCACTTTGGCCTCCCAAAGCACTAGGATTACAGGCATGAGCCACCAGGCCCAAACTCCATCCTGCGTATCTGTAGACCCGAAATGTAAGAGTGAATTGTTAGTACTGGCAAAAGAGGCTTTGGCATAATTTTAATTTCCTTCAGCCTTGTTTTATAAAATATACTTTGTCTTCTTGTAAAACAAATGATGACAATTTGCAGAAAAGTTATTAAAACATTGAAAGAACAGGTTGCAAGATCTCATCGCAAATCTCAAAGTGGTATCTGGATTGTTTTGTTTCAACACTCATTTGCCAGAACCCTTAGGATAGCACATGAGGCGTAAACAGAAATCGAGGCTTTGGGTGTCATAGCTACTTTGCAGGGCTGGGCCCCAGGACTTTTCTGCAGGAAGTTCATTGCCCACCCAAGATGCCTCCAGAAGAAAGCAGAAACTTCTGAGAGGAGCGTGAAGGCTCTGTTTCTGTGCTGCACAAACAATTCCTAGTTTATTTGTTTCCTAAATTGTTTATCTTATTGGTTTTTGTGTTTCCAAAAGCAATGCATGCTCATTACAGGAAGCACAGAAAACTACAAACAAGTAAATGAACACTAAAAACGACTGTAATCTCACCAAGGTAGACAAATAGCTTGGTGTCTCTGTCCTTGTAACCCATTTCTATGCTGCATGCATCCATTTGTGTCTATTTCAAAAGTGAGATGCAAACTATTGTTGTTTTTTGTTAAATGACAAAAATAGTACTTGCTAATTGCTCAAACATTATGACATTAATGTAGAAAAAAAGCCAATTTATTATGCTCATTAAAACTTTTTCTTTTTTTTTAAATCTAAAAATTTTGATTGGCGAAGGATTAGACTAAATTGTTGATGTTTGAATTGTATTGTGGTTTTGGTTAAAGTTTGATGCAGGACCTTCAGAGCAAAGACAGGGTACAATGGTGAACTTTAAACAAGTTTTGTTTTTTTTTTTTTTTGAGACGGAGTCTCATTCTGTCCTCAGGCTGGAGTGCAGTGGCACGATCTCGGCTCACTTGCAAGCTCCGCCTCCTGGGTTTAAGCGATTCTCCTGCCTCAGCCTCTGGAGTCGCTGGGATTACAGGTGCCCACCACCATGTCCAGCTAATTTTTGTATTTTTAATAGAGATGGGGTTTCACCATGTTGGCCAGCATGGTCTCGATCTCCTGACCTTGTGATCTGCCTGCCTTGGCCTCCCAAAATGCTGGGATTACAGGCATGAGCCACTGTGCCCGGCCCTTTAAACAAGACTTAAAGACCAGTGCACAAAGTTTCTGAGGCCACGCCCGGCCCTTTAAACAAGGTTTAAAGACCAGCACACAAAGTTTCTGAGTACAAAAATAGGTAATATTTTAGGTTAGGGTCATTAGACCAGAATTAGAATCATTCTTTTCTTTTCTTTTTTTAATTAAAAAAGATGGGGTCTCCTTTTGTTGGCCAGATTGACCTTGAACTCCTGACCTCAAGCAACTCTCCAGCCTTGACCTCCCAAAGTAGTAGGATTACAGATGTGAACCATTGCACCTGGCCACAATCATTCTTTTGAAAATAATGATGGTAATTCAGTTTATATGCTGTGTTCTCATGCAACCCAAGCAGACCCCACTGCTTCCAGAGATTCCCTTGGCAGCCACCCTGGGTTGAGGACGGTCCCCTCCTGGCACAGCTGGAACCACCGGTGAAGAGCCATTTTTCAGTCAGCACCATTTAGTAATACAAGACTTTTAGCCTTGAGGGGTCTTCCGTTGTTAGTTCCTAACTTTAATGACTTTGTGGTAAAAATTCCTTAGCGAATGACTTCTGTGCAACAATCACGTAATTTTTAAAATTCCAGATGCTTTAGCCATTCAGAATCCATTTTTTTCTTTCAAAACCAGAGTTCACCGGCTGCTTCTCTTGAGTCAAGACTTTGCAATCAGCTTTCAAATGTTCATACCACGTAGAAGCAGGAAGAGAGAACTGTGGATGGGCAATGAATGAAATACTGACATTTAGCTGTAGAAAGTAGGCAGGGACTAACATGGTGCGTACAGCCTCTTTTATGACTACTAGTCCTGTATCTGCTTCCTTTCCCTGCCCCATTTTCCCCTTTGGCCACTTGCTTTTTGTCATGATTCAGAAATGGATGCTAGACATTGTGGGCTCCCTCCAGTCACCAGGGTCACTGCTCACTGACTTATGAACAGAATCACAGAACTTATTTTCAGATGAAGCTTCGAAACAGCAATTGGCTAAACTCCTTGTGTTCTGGCAGGTAAGATGTCGGCATCCTTATTTAACAAATGATGCTACTGAGAACTATGTATGTAGAGACGGAGTCTCAAAATAAGTGCAGTTATGCCTCGCATAATGACATTTTGGTCAATGTCACATATGTGATAGTGGTCTCATAAGATTATAGTGGGCTGACAATTTCCTATTGCCTAGTATTTACTCTACATTTTGTTGTTATTTTGTGTACTTCTACTTAGTAAAAAAAAGTTAACTGTAAACCAGCCTCAAGCAGGTCCTTCAGGAGGTATCCAGAAGACGGCATTGGTGTCATAGGAGATGATGGCTCCATGCATGTTTTTGCCTTGAAGACTTTCCAATGGGACAAGGTGTAGAGGTGGAAGGCAGGGATGGTGATGATCCTGACTCTGGGTAGGCCCAGGCTAGTGTGCGTGTTTGTGTCTTAGTTTTTAAAAAAAAGTTTGAAAAGTAAAAAAATAAAAATTAAAAACAGGAGCTTATAGAATAAGGATATAGAGAAAAAATATTTTTGTACAGCTGCACAATGTATTTGTGTTTTAAGTTTTGTGTCATTATAAAAAAGTCAAAAAGTTTAAAAAAATTAAAAAATTATTATATATAAAGAAAAAAAGTTACGGTATGCTAAAGATAATTTATTGTTGAAGAAAAAATTTAAATGAATTTAGTATAGCCTAAGTGTACAGTGTTTATAAATACAGTATCATAAAATTATGTCCTCGGCCCTTG